TGGTAATATTGATGATAGAAAATCCACCATGGGTTATATATTTATTTTTGGTAGTGGTGCTATTTCATGATTGAGTGAAACGTAAGGCTGCATAGCTAAAAGTATTATAAAAGCTGAATATGTTGCTTGTAGTATGGCTGTCTTCAAGACCGTATGATTAAAATGGTTTCTAACTAATTTAAAACTTACATGTGTAAATAATATGTCTATTTTTATTTTTTGTGATAATGAGGTTCTGATAAAAACCATTAAAAATGAAAAAAATCGGGCCCAAAAGTAAGCATATTGAGTTAGAATATAACTATATAAGTCATATAATACTAATAGAGCAAGTTACTATTGATTATCTTTGTACAAAAGATATGGTTGCAGACCTATTGACAAAATCTATTGGAACTGAATAATTTAAACGATATGTCGTTACTATGAGTTTAAGTTGTGAATGAACGTCTTGGGCTTGTAGCTAAGTGAGAAATGTTGAAATATGTGGCTAAAATACCTAGATATTAATTAAACCACGATTGGTGATTAAATTTGGAATATATTAAACCCTAATCCGTTGGTTAAATATTATATTATTTATGACTTATATCATAAATGAAATTATTACGTATTAAATATTATTTTATAATGGTGCATGCATACACATATATTACATTGATATAATTAAATATAATTGAATGTGTGGATTGGATATTTTTTATTCATCATGGTTGATTTGGCTAGAGGGACCCATCAAGTAGTGAAAGACTAATTAATCTTACTTGAAGTATTTTTAGCCTTTTTTGATTGTAGAGACTTGAGAAAATATTGGTGGAGTTGAGGATATTATGGTGAGTGGTAATGACTAGTTGAATGACTAGTTGATATATCATCCACTATAAATAAGGTCAGAGAGAACACACCAGAAAATACCTAATTGAGAGAAATTCCATTGAGGAGAAATTCCAACTCTCGAGATCCTTTACAAAGGAAGCTCCCAACTCTCGAAAATACATTAAATTCTTAGAATTGTTCCTGACGAGTTTTCATATTTTGGAACCGTTGTATAATCATTTCATTTTCAATGACATTTAAAACATATTTCTCAATATATGCAACCGAGAAATCATCCATCCATTAATCTCTCATTCGATTGCACAATCGATTATTTACTTTGTTCATTCTTGAAAATGCTCTTTCGATGGTTGAAATTCCAACCGACAAGATTAGTGCTAGTTTCATGAGAAAATGTATCAACAGATATACTATATTCTTTTTGGTCTCAACTAACTTCTCTGTAAGTCCACCAATTCTTTTAACTTCTGAAAATTCATTTGAGCACATATCAAGTATATAAGTCTTAAGTTAATTATCTAGTTTTAAGAGCTCCATGAGGAAAATTATGAAGGATAAATTGCACAAGATTAACTTCTCTTTATTGAATGCAGAGAAACAATCACTAAGTTCTTGAAGTTGCATATCTAACACTATAGAACATAATTCAAAATGATAACGGTATAGATTAGTGACTTTTTCACCATGCCGTGACCTTGCTTGAGCTATGTATATCTCATTCATATTCAAAATAATCAAATCATGTTTTTTCACAAAAATGAAGATACCTCGGCAACTAAAGCATCTCATCCATCATCCATCATCATTTGTAGATGTTATTTGAATACTTAAACTAAACTCATAGGATTTACAAAATAGTCAAGTGGCAACCCAAGACGAAATAAAGAAAACCTACATAGCTCCACAAATAATACGACAAACAACCATCAATTTGGTAGGAATTAAACTAATTTTTTAACATGAAAAATCTGATTTAGTGCTATACTGCTATTCTTGGACATTTAAATCCCTATTTCCTTGTGGCCGAGAATCCATAGAAATTAAGAAAAAAATTTATGGTTAATGGAGTACATCTCCTTAGCTTCAACATAATTTTATAGGGTTTCTTCAAAACTTATTTGCACAACAATTGATCCAGTAGGCCGATTCATTGGTGAATATAACAAAGGAAGTAACAAAGAAACCAATGAAAGAAAACAAGAGAGTTGTACTAGCTAGTGAAGAAAAGGCAGAGATGAACGTTTGAATGAAGAAGACGGGTAAAAGGCGTGAAAACTAGGGGTGAGAGGCTGCCAAAAGTTGTCTTAGTGGTTTGAAAATTACACTAATTTATCCTATACTTTATAAAAATTTTAATGGGGCAAGATTCAAAAATTTTTGAAATTTTTAAAATTTTACCTAGGTCCCAATTTTTTTTTAAATTCCAGTGGGGTAGCTGCCCCCGTACCAAATCCGCCCCTACTTTCAACACCTTAGCCCAATCGGATGCCTTAAGGTGTCCTCATCAATGCATGTACTCTTGTGTCTCCTAATAGGCCAGTCGTGTCCTCTGACACATCCAGTCTCACCAACCTCATTTTCAACAGGAATTAGTAAATTATCGTATGATGTACCTTCTGATCTTTGCCATCACCAAACTTGTATCTGTCCTCCTCACATTCGGACATTGTGGCCAATTTTCATTCTCTGTAAAACAGAAACATTATCATACTAACATGGGCACATATCTCAATCAAACGTGGAAAAATTCCCTAACATCATAAATGGGACATATCTCACATTCTGGCAAAGCATCCTTCAATAACCCCAACAATTTAATGAACCATTATTGCTCCTTTTGGTCAACACATTTACACCAAGCATGCAAGCTTACAACGAACAATACAGTAAATGTCCTCTCATCAATGCATATCATTTGAACTTAAAAAGCCATGTCATTTTCAACTAACAATGTACTACGACAGTAAAAAGTTCGTTGTCAAAGGATGTTTTTTTAACAAAAGAATAATCTTTGTCAAGTACTAATAAATTGAAAAAAATTAGCTAATAAAAGAAAACATAGGATGCACAATGATGCTTTATATCGAAAACAATTATGTGACAAACCAGAACTACTGCATAAAAGTTGATTATGAGATTATGCTTTATGTATTGGTGGCATCCTTCCTTTACTGACTTCCTTTATCATCGCTAATAACATTTTAATTTCTCATCGTGCGTCAAAACATTTTCATAGGAATTTGGTGGCAGAATCACCATTTTGTCATAGAAAGTTGAATTTTGGGTATGGAAAAATACTAAATTCTTGCTAAAGATTGTTGCTGAAAAACAAGATTTTATGACAAATGATTACGGAAAAAATTCTCTAAGAGTTTAAGCCAACTTTTTTAGGCCAATAGACAACTTGTATAAGAGATCACAGGAATTTATCTATTCATATTGCATTCCCAAATTTTTATCAGAGCCTTTAAGATTTTTAATTAATTTTTTTGGAATATTAAAATTCTTATATTGCATCCTAAACTTCTCCAAAAAAATAACAACACGCTCTAAAAAGAAATCATTGTTGGATTTTCTATCTTTCGAGCAACAAGAATCATGTGAAGAAAAATAAATGATGTATTATTTTTATGGCTCATTGATATCCTTTAAATAAATTCAAAATATAATTTCAAATTTTCAACCTTGAAAAAAGTAAGATAAAATTTCAGAAATTCAAAAAAAAAAAAAAAAAGTGATTCGCTCCAACAATTTTGTTCCTGTTAATTTGGCAACACCAAACCTGGCTAAGCCAGCGGGATATAATGACTTAATATAACGTGGGCACCCTAGTGAGCAACTGTATGTGTATCTCTACGAAGAATTAGTTGATGCACACGTGTTAAAATATGTTAAATTATAGTTTTTTTTTTATATTTCTTAATATATAGAACTTACATGATTCAAAAAATCTAACCGAAAGGTGAGCAATTTAGACCAGAAACATATAGGGAGTAAGAGCCTAATGAAAGTACTCTAATAATCCAAGCAATGGAGAATGCAGATTATTATATAAGTGTGATCTTGATATTGCAATGACAGTCAATAATTCATACAATTACAAACAGGAACAAATTGATAGTACAACAATAATTTTTGGAGAAGTTCAATTTTCAAATATACAGATGGCAAAGAGGAATTGAGAGTTTATGCAATTCAAACACTGAAACTTCTAAATTCATTTAGTGATCTGGGCTAAACATACCGGTGCACTTGCCTTCATTCCCAAATTTTTTTTTCTTCCAAAACTCACAAGATATGTCATAAAACTATTAATCAAATGCATCATTGTATTTTATAAACTAATAGAGTGAATAATGCCTTAATGTGTGAGAAATATAGGGTCTTTCTTCAATATATTAGAATGTTACGTAACTTCTTAAAGGCAGCATCCATAAGCTAAATTTGGAGAATGAATTAAACTTTGTCAAAACTTGTTCCCCAAATCCATATATAATGCACAATTAATGAACAATGGCAAGCAGTTGAAACATTGTATGATATCTGATGCTTTTTTACTTTGCCTTTTACTACCTATGACATTCATACCGAATCCAAGCGAATTGTGGAGGCTTGAAGCACTTCCTTTACTTACTCTCTTATGACTTACAAAAATGATGTAGGAAGCTTCATATGAATCAAGAAATAACCAACTTAAATTATTTGAGATCTAAATGATATTCACATTAAATAATTTTTTTTCCCCAGGTTATCACAAGAAGATCCAAAACTCCTTATCAAGTGCTTTACATATTTCATATAACTTTCATAGTCTCTTAGCAGCTTGAGATTGTGGAGATGAATTATAAATATAGTTTACCATTAAACAACCAAAGAAAATTTCCTCTAAAATTTAAAAAATTGAAAGACAAATGAAAACCATACCTCAACAATCCCATTTTTTTTTTTGAATCACGATGAGTGCTCTTTGCTTTCGGCCACCATGAAACCCACCCAATCCACCTTCACCACTGATTCCGTTTGTCGTTCATACAAATTGGATACCAACCCACCCCCAATTCCACCTTCCCTTTCTCTCTTCGTTTACACCTTTATCTATTTCTCACAGACCCAAAACCCCTCTTTATCCCCCACTTACCTTGCTTTACCATCACATCTGAACCATGCACCCTACAGCCATTAAAGCCAATATTGTTTGTAGATCTGGAATTATTGAGCTACCAGAAGCTCGTGTAAATGCCAAAGTGAACCTAGATGGGACAAAGGAGCTGAGCTCTAATGCTTCACTTGGAAGCCATTCAAGAGATAAGGGAATAACAGGGCAAACACAGGTGCAAACAGGGGAGGTGGCGATTGGTGAAATTCCTATTGCTAACAAATCGAGATCTAGCGGTGAAACTTCAAAAGAGCTGGTGGATGTTAATGTGTTGCCAAAAGACAAGCAAAGCCCGGAAAAGACTCAACCTAACCTGCCAGAGGCCCAGCAAAAACATCCCGGACCTAGAGCACCTTGGAACCAGGTCCTTAAAGAAGGATGAGCAGCAAACCACTTTGCCAGTTAGAATGAAAGCCAGACCCAGTTAATGAAACTCCAATTTTTTGATCCAAAAATGAAAAATAATAGAATTGTGATCCATCCCTTGAAACAATTGGTAGGCAAAGATGTCTTAAATGGCACAATTGTCTTGTGAGATACTTCATTGAAAAGAAGCTTCCTTTTACCACTGTGAGTTACTTGGCACACAGGATGTGGGATAGTCAAGGTCTTTTGGAGGTATTGGCAAAGGACAATGGGTTTTACTACTTCAAATTCATGAATGATGAATCTAGAACAAAAATCTGAGTCTACACCTTGGCTGCTATCAGGTAGGCCATTAATACTTTAGAAATGGCAACCAAACCTATTGTTAACCAGGGAGAATCACTCCATAATCCCACTGTGGATTAAACTCCACAATATTTCCCTCCAATTTTTGAATGAGAAAGGCTTGAGTTACATAGCGAGTGCTGTTGGGAAACCTCTATATGCTGATACGCCCACTTCCAAGAAACAGAGAATAAACTTTGCAAGAATCTGTGTTGAAGTGAATGCCAGAAATCCTTTAATTGAAGCCTTTGATCTGAATGTGGATATCAATGGGATGGTTGAAACTGTGGAAATAAAGGTAGAATACCAATGAAAGCTCTAGATGTGTAATAAATGTAATGTTTTTGGGCACAATGAGTCCTTATGCCCCAAAGTGTTGTCTAAGGATAGGATTAATGTGGAGGAGCAAGCTATTGTTCAAAATCTATTCACAAACCAACCAGTCTTGTGTATAGACAAGGGCAAAACAGTGGCATCTGTAGTGCTTGATACTGAAACTGTGGAAACTAATAAAAAGAGAGTTGCAGACAACCTTTTGGTGCCTGGTACTAAGATTGAAAGGTCTCCCTAGGTTGACACTCAAGTCACAGAAATCATAGTGAATCAAGTTGCCTCTTCCCAATTGGACATTGGGAGGATTACACCTAGGAACAAATTTCCAAACATGAGTCTAGAGGGAGGCGAAATCATTGTGGACCTAGCTGCTGAAGCTCATCCTAGTAACTCAATATGCAATGACGTGACTAAGGAGAAGGAAAAAACAAATGGAAATAAACATCCACTGGGAAACAAAAAGAAGAAAGTGAAAAAGAAAGCCCATGAGATGGGGAAATCTAAGGTGACTGAGCACCTAATTCTTAGGACAGTACTCCTCCCTCAATGAAGCTTGCATGCTGGAACATTAGAGGACTTAACAAGCCCTCAAAGTAGGAAGAAGCCAGGAAATTGACAGTGGACCAACAGCTTGACCTTTGGGAATTGTTGAAACAAAAGTCAGGAGTGTGAATAAAGATAGGTTGATGCATAATGTGTTTCGAAATTGGGACTAGTTGGCAAATTATGATAGCCATCATTTTGGAAGAATTTGGATTGGGTGGAACCCAAATACAGTGGAAATTAATAAAATTGAGGAAACTGACCAAGTGATACATTGCTTGGTCAAACACTTTGAAAGCAACTCACAATTTTTTGCATCTTTTGTCTATGGGTCAAATGATGACATAGAGAGGAGAACTATGTGGAGGGGGGGGGGTTAGGCACCATTCAAATTTTGTTGCTACTGAACTGTGGGTTGCTTTAAGAGACTTCAACGCTATCAGAACACCAAATGAAATTACGGGGGGTCAAAGTAGTTGGTGCCAATCAATGGAGGATTTTGATGTTTCTTTGCAAGATTCAAAACTTATGGATCTTAGGTATACTGGGATTCAATTTACTTGGAGCAACAGAAGGGAAGGGGAAGCCATTGTGGCCAGAAAGCTAGATAAAGTTCTGGTTAATGAAGCTTGGATTAACAGATTCCAAATGTCTGTGACAAATTTTCTTCCTGCAATTCTTTCTGATCATAGCCCTGCAATTGTCCAAATTGGTCCAAGGCTCCCCAAAAGAAAACGCCCCTTTAAATTTTTCAACCACATTGCTGCATGAGAGGACTTTTTGGACCTTGTTCAACAGATCTGCATTCAAAATGTCTAAGGAAGTTACCAGCTTCAAGTTGTCAGCAAGCTCAAAAGTCTTAAAGTTATTTTTAAAGGGATTACCAAGGAAGTTGGGGATGTCTATGTGAAAGCAAGGGAGGCAAGAGAAGCTTTAATGAGATGCCAAAGAAAGCTGGACACTAACCCAACTGATTTTGCATGGAGACAGGCAGAAAGATAGCTCTTGAAGGATTGTACTCAAGCAGCCAATGATGAAGAAATTTTTTATAAGCAGAAATCCAGAGTCCAATGGCTCAAAGAAGGAGATAGGAACACTTCATATTTTTTCAAGACAATGAATAGTAGAAGAAATAGGAAAAAGATATTTACGCTTGATAGGGTGGATGGTTCAAAGGCAGAGGGAGAACATGCAGTGAAGAAGAAGCTGTTAATTATTATGTCAACTTGTTTGGCCAAGTTAGACTTGTAACCCCAGTCCAGGAGTGAAGTGCTGGTATGCAGTTAGTGGTTCAAAGCAAAATCCCTCCACACATTGCTGCTGATATGGTTAGAGAGGTGTCTAATGAAGAAATGAAGGAGGTAATCTTCTCCCTAAATGACTATAAGGCTTTCGACCTAGATGGGTTTAATGCTCTATTTTTTAAAAAAGCTTGGTCAATTTTTGGGCATGATATTACTAAAGCAATTAAAGAGTTCTTGACTACTGGTCAGTTACTTAGGGAGCTAAATAACACTATCATCTCCTTGGTCCCCAAAGTTCCAAACCCCTCAGCTATGGGGGATTTCAGACCAATCTTATGTTGTAACACTCTTTATAAGGCAATCTCAAAGCTTATAGTAAATAGAATCAAAAAATGTCTTCCAAACCTTATCAATCCTAACCAAGCTGCCTTCATCCAAGGTAGAAGAATTGGGGACAATATCCTGTTAGCTTAGGAGCTTATGAGAGACTACCATAGAGATTCAGGTCCCCCCAGATATGCACTAAAAGTTGACATTAGGAAAGCCTTTGACACTGTCCAGTGGGATTTTCTGCTTAATGTCTTGGAAGCCTTTAATTTTCCAATGACAATGAGGAAATGGATCCATGCTTGCATTACTACAACCATGTTCTTAGTTAATGTGAATGGTGAGCTAGCTGGTTATTTCTCTAACGCTAGAGGATTGAGATAGGGAAACCCATTATCTCCCTACCTCTTTATAATTGCCATGGAGTTTCTGTCCCTGATAACACAGAACAACATAAATTCCAACCCCTAATTTAAGTATCATTGGAGGTGCTCTAAGCTCAAGATGTTTCAGCTTTCCTTTGCTGACGATCTGATGTTATTTTGTCATGGTGATGTGATTTCTATTCAAAAATTAAAGAGATCTCTAGACCAATTTGGCCAACTCTCTGGCTTACTTCCCAATATCGAAAAGAGCAATATATATTTAAGTGTTGTTCTTGAGGGGGTGGGGTCACACATCATAGAGATACTTGGGTTCTCTATTGGTGACTTACCTATCAAATACCTTGTAGTTCTACTGGTTTCCACCAAGCTTAAGGCTCAACACTGCATGGGCCTCATTGACAAGGTTGATACCAAGGTTAAGTCTTGGCTCAACAAGTTCCTGTCCTACGCAAGAAGGCTTCAGCTGGTAATTTTTTGCGCTTAGTAGCATGCATGTGTTTTGGGCTACCCACTTGAGCTTATCATAGAAAATGTTAGACAAGCTTGAACAAAATTTGAGGGCCTTCATTTGGAAGGGCCTTGAACTCAAATACACTGGAGCTAAAGTTGCATGGAATGATGTTTGCAAGCCTAAAAGTGAGGGTGGCCTGGGTATAAAAGGGTTGAAGGAATGGAACAATGCCTTGCTCCTAAGACATCTGTGGCAATTGTTTAATGACAAGGAAAACTTATGGACCCAATGGATACATGCTTACTATATAAGGGATAGAAGCTTATGGGAGCTTAAAACTCTCTAAACCTACTGACACACTTGGAGGAACCTATTAAAACTCAGCGAAATCCTAAGGCCTATAATGGTGCACATTGTAAGGAATGGACAACACACAAGCTTTTGGCATGACAACTGGCATCCATATGGACCCCTGTTACCAAGAAGAAGCTTTGATATAGTGCAACAAGCAAGAAATTCAAGGGAAGCAAGAGTCAGTAGAGTTATTGCCAACCACCAATGGAACAGAACTACTTCGACTCATCTGAGTGTACATGATATTTTTAACAACATGTCAATCTACCTCCCTGATCGAACCAGAAATGATTTTGTGAGATGGTCCCTTACCACTGGTGGGAAATATTCTGCCAAATCTGCATGGGATCACCTGAGGATTGCAACTAGTATGGTTTCTTGGCACAATTTTGTTTGGTTTGGTCAGTCAATACCTCGAATGGCCTTTATCCTTTGGTTTGCCATTAAAATGAGATTGAGCACTAAAGATAGAATCCAAGCTTTCTCAAATGAAGTTGACACCCAATGCGTCTTGTGTAGAAAGACAAATGAAACCCATAGCCACCTCTTCTTTGAATGTGAATACTCCTCTAGAGTTTGGAACTCCATTCTTCTTTAGTGCAATCAACAAGGACAACAAAGGCAATGGCCTGATCTAATTGAATGGGCTGCTCAATAGTGGAAAGGCAAGAAGATGACCACTATTATCATGAAGATCAGTCTCTCTACTACTGTTTATCATCTTTGGAATGAAAGAAATACAAAAATTTTCAGAAACCAAGCTGTTGACTCTCATATCCTCATCAAGATGGTTAAACAGACCATTAGGGAGAGGCTCCTTACCTTGAAATTCAAGCGCAGCCATCATAATGCCTTGAACTTGCTTCAATGGAACTTGCCTGAAACATGTCTCCTTTAAAGTTCTGGTTTTGAAGCTTGCTGCATCTATGATTTGAAGCTTCATGGCATCTCAAATTGGGATTCTTGGGGAAGTACTGGCTCAAGGCCTATACTTCTCTCAGAATTCCTAACTTAAGATGAATCTTTTTTTTTGTTTTTTGAGGTGGCTGTGTTATTATTGTAGTGGCTGTATTGTTGGTATTGATTTTGCTTCTGCTTTTGGCTTGCTATGGTATCACTTAAGTGCATTTATGGTCTGCTTTTTATGGGGTAGATTTTTCATACTTTGTTTTTGTCTACCATGCTCTGATTTCTCATGCTTTGATATCGATTCACAAAAGTGGTGTCATGGTCTGCTTTCTTTCATATCAGTGGTGTTTTGGGGCAGATTTCTTCATGCTCTGATTGTGTTTTGAGCCTTTTGGCCTTTTGGGTTTTTTGTTATTTGTCTTTTCATCCTACGTGATGTCACTGTACAATCTGTGGGTGATTACCTCTGTATATCTTTTTTATTTTAATACATTTACCTTTCGAAAAAAACAATCCCATTTTTCAATGTAGCAGCACTGTAAAACTATTAAAAATTTCTCGATCACATTATCCACCAAGCAAACATAAATTAAATTCCTTTCAAATTCTTCCGCACCTTGCTAAATTTTTCTAGTTATTTTTAAGAGGGAAAACCCCACAATAACATCAAAATAAATTTTTTGTGATATCTATTCTATAATTGCAAAAGGAAATTGGGTTTCAACTCTTCAAAATTTTTACTCACAACTACTAAAATTAATGGAGAAAAAGGAAATTAAGACGTTGTGTAGTAGCCTGCAATAGGCCTTGCGAGGTGAGGAAGTGTTATCGAACCATGTGTTGCATCTACATCGACTCGGGAGGCTATTTATGTGGTGGGCTCTGTCTGAACTGTAAAGAGGCATTTTTTGGGGAAAGCCCTAGTGGCGAGCAATATCTTGATAGTTGGAGCAAATTGTTACATATCATGACCAGAAAAAATGACAAATCATGCAAGGAGCTAAGAAATATTAATGCCACTAGGGCCACTCTCCATCAATCTAATATTGTGATGAATTAGGAATTGCCTTGACTAATTGTCCAAATACTTTTATGTATTGAAGAATAACTCCCTAAACTAGTCAGCTTTTAAGCTAGCATTAGCCATATTGTTCAAGCCACCCTATTAGCCTATTTTTTCAATTGAATCAACGTCTCAATGTTACTAGCTTTTGTTTTACTTTCACTAATCATTCAACTCTTGAAGTCTAACCCCAAACGCTTTCCATTGTAGAAATTCTATTAGTAAATTAGGTATCATCCTTGAAAATTTCTAAGGTTTTCTTAAATTCTTATG